GAACATATATGTTGTGAGGGTAAAGGACTGTGCCTATAATGATGGAGGTGGACATTCCCAACAGTAGGGTAGGTTCGGAACCCAGAGTTTGAATTCATACTCTTTGTCACTTAGTCAATGCCAACTCATAGCAACCCTATAGAACAGAGTATAACTGCCCTTGTGAGTTTCCAAGAGTGTAAAGGTTTATGGGAGTCGTAAACTTTGTCTTTCTCCCATGGTAGATTCAAACTGTGGACCTTGTGGTTAGCACCCCAATGCACAATCCATTATGCCACCGTGGCTCCCAAGTTAATTGATGTAAAAGAAATAAAACTTCCATATTTCTTCCCCTTTTGAGTTCAAAGACTGCAAGTTAGGTTTTGTGTCAACTTGGCTGGGCCAGGATTCTTAGTAGTTTGGCAATTGAGGGCTCCCCCATGATTTGATGTTACATAATGTAATCGATTCCATGATGAGAGCTGCTGTGCATAGCCAAGCAGCTATGGGAAGATTGAGGTGGAGTGCAACCCCCTTCCTGAGGTCAAGACCCTAATGATGTTACCTTGGGAGTGTGGTCTACCTCATAACTAAGTAGACACTGCTGAGTATGTCTTCATTTCTTGCTCAACTGAATCTGGCAGCTGCCTTCATGACCTCTGGTTCTTTGGATTTGAGCCAGGGACCTGTGAAAATGCCTGCCAACCCCGGGGAGCCATCTGACTCATTGACCTTGAATCCATTCGCCCCTGTATTCATCAGCCCCAGTCTTCTTCTTTCATCTTCCTGCTTTGTAGTTTGCCTGCTGCAGCAGCCTCAAGTGGCAATATTGAAAGATTACATGGACAAAATATTAAATAATGCAGGAAGCGTCAAAGATGGAAAGGATGCACAGTGTCACTGTATCAAAAAGAACTAATTGACATTCAACCCTTTCAAGAGACAGCATATGATCAAGGGTACTGAAGGAAGCTCAACATCAAGGAAGCTGCACTGAGGGCAGTAGTGAAAAGCAAGCCATCAGAAATTGCTGGGATACCAGTCAAAATATTTCAGCACTACACTGATGAAGCACAGGAAGCACTATGCCAAGAATTTTGCAAGACAGCTGTTAAAATCCATCCATTCATTTCAGAGAAAAGTGACCCAAGAAAATGTGGCAACTATCAAATGATATCAATTATTACACATGCAAATAAAATTTTGCCGAGGATCATAGAATGATGGCTACAAAGTACATCTATAGGAAATTCATAAATTTCATAAATTCAAGCTGAATTCAGTAAAGGGTATTGTTTGAGAATATCATTACTGACATCAGATGAATTTTGGCTGTGAGCACAAAAATTCAGAAAAAAATGTTTGTGTTTCACTGACACACAACGGCATTCAACTGTGTGGATCGTAACAAAACTATGGATAGTCTTGAGAAGAACAGGAATTGAAGAACACTTCATTGTGCTCATGTGGAACCTGCACATGAATCAAGATGCAGTTGTTCAAACAGAATAAGGGAAGCTACATGCTTTAAAATCTGGAAAGCTGTGTGTCTGGATGGTATCCTCTCACCATACGTATTCAATCTGTATGCTGAGCCACTAATTCAAAAAGTTGGACTAAATGAAGAATGTGAAATCCAGTTTGGACGAAGGCTGACGGAAACCTGGATGTGCAGATGACACACGCTTGCTCACTACAGTGAGGAGGACTCGATGAACACCGAGGCCTGCAGCCTTCGGTGTGGATTACAATGATTGTCGAGAAAACCAAGATCCTCACACCTGCACCAATAGACAACATCACGATTAATGGAGAAAAGATTAACGTTGTCAAGGATTTCCTCTTGCTTGGTTCTACCATCAACGTAGCAGTAAAGAAATCAAAGGGTGTGTGGTCCTGGGCAAGTCACTGCACTGAGAACTCAATGACGGCACATTGAAGACTAAGCTGTGCCTGGACCGAGACATGAGATTGTCATTCACTTTGTAGACATGTGAAAGTTGGACAGTAAGAAAAACCAAAGAACTGATGCATTGGAATTTTGATGCTAGAGAAGAATATTGAAAGTACCACGAATTTCCAGAAGAAGGAACAAATCTGTCTTGTACAAAGTATGACCAGGATGCTCCTTAGAAGATAGGATGGTGAGACCTCATGTCACATACTTTGACATATTATCACGAGGGACTAGTGCCTGACAAAGGGCAGCTGCTTCTTAAAGTCGAGGAACAGTGGAAAAGAAGAAAGATTCTTAACAATTTGACTTGACAAAGTGACTGTAACAGTGGATTCAGGCATCATAGCAATGGTGAGGATGGCGTGGGACACAGTCGCTTCATTCTGTGGTTCAGAGTCAAGAGGACTTGGTATCGACTTGACAGCAGTTTACAACCAACATGAGCTGAAATCAACTCAGTGGCAGTGTTATGTGTTTTTCATTCCATTGAAAAGAAACCCTGTACAAAGTACTCAGCTGTTTAAATCCAGGTTCCTGCTACCAACCTACCAGTTGCTCCATGGAAGAATGAGTTAAGTCATCTTCTTCTGAAGGTTGACAGCCTCACCAATGGTTACTATAGAAGGGAATGAATCGTTGAGTAGGGGTCATTGAGCTGATGTCAATGGTGGTAGGATAATTTGGAAAAGGCTATCAATAGTGAGTGAACAGCATGAAGGGTACACTCAATGACCCTGATTCACACAAGTTGAAGTTGTGGAAATAGACAATGTTTTGCTGTGTATATTTTTGTCATAATTAGGAAAAAATAATAATTGCATGTATAACAATGACTACAAGGAAGAAGAAAATGTTCTAGAATTGAATATAACAATTGGATAGCTCTTCTTGCTATGATTGAATTATTGGTTTGTATGACATGTAAAGTGCTAATAAAACTTAAAAAATAGAATAAAATGAAATTCAAACTTAAAAAAGAAAAAGACTTATACCCTCAGAAATCCACAGGGACAGTTCGACTCTGACCTACAGGGTGCAATGGGGTCCCGTACAGTTGCTATGAGCCAGAGTTGATTCGATGGTAGTGACTTTGAAACAAGGCCATGTAGATGAGTCATCCTTGTTGGGGTAGGTGTTCTCTAGCAAAAGAAGGGTGTGTGTAATGATTGCCTGCTGTGGGTTCAAAGGTAGGTGTGATTTAAGGTTTCCAGGCCACAAATGAGCAGAAATATACATGGGCGGGAACGGGTTCCAATCTCATTGATTTTGGGAAGGGGGCCTTGAGCTTCAATGGGGAACTAATGAGTACAGGATCAGAGAGAATGTTCTAAAACTGATTTTGGTGATGACTGTAAACTCCTCATGATGTGACTAACTATTGAACTGTGTGATATGGGAATTGTATGCTAATAAAACTTTTTTGAGGAAAAAAATTCCCTGGTTTGGGTATCTTTTGCCTATAGTGAATGTAGCCCTTTGTTGTACGTGTACGGGGTGGGTGGGGGTGGGGGTGGTTTGAAGGGGTAAGTATAGGTCATTCCATAGTTCCTGGGAACAGAAGGAAGATCAAGCTGTAAGTACACATCAGGTATTTACAACCTCAGAAATCCTATATAGACTAGCTAGGAGTTGGAATTGGGTCTCTGGCAGTGGGTATATGGATATATAGTCCCTGGTGATGCAAATGGCTAATGTGCTTATCTGCTAAATGAAAGATTAGAGGTTTGAGTGTGTCCAACAAAAGGCAACTATGAAGAAAGTCCTGGCAATTAACTATTGAAAACCTGCGGGCCACAGCTAGACAACCAGGCACAAACTCGGGACTTGTGGGGATATTGAGGAAAAGCAAGGGGGAGAGGGGACTGGCAGAACCTTAAGGACTCCCAGTGGCCCACTGTTATGTGTTGGGCTGCTAACTACAGGTCAGCAGTTCTCTGCCTGCGCGTGCCCTGCTTCATCCCATGAGCTCCCATTTTGGCCTGGTTACCTCTGACTTGGCTTCCCCGCTCAGTATACAATTGCTTCTCCAAGGAAGCCTTCTCGGATTCTCCAGAACAGGTCAAGTTCAGGCTTCCTCTTCTTACCACGGCTCCTGAGCTCCTTCACTGTACTGGGCCCGGTCATTCTGACTCCTGGTGATGACCCAGGTGTGCCAGAGACCTGTGTTCAGAGGGTTCTCAGTGACTCCTGCTTCAGAAGGACGTTGCCAGCTCTTCCTTCCACAGTACTTTGGGTGAATAGACTCGAGCCTTCGACCTTTTGGTCAGTGGCTGTATGTATTCAGCCCTTTGCACCATCCAGAGACTAGCAGTTACATGGGCCCGGTTATTAGAATGGTTGATGCTTGATGGGAGTTGCTTGCCATTTGCAGAGGCGCTAACTACCTGTTTAATGCCTGCGTAACCAGGATCTACAACTAAACAAGGCAGCCTCCTCTCAAACCTGCTCAGAGAATTCAGCCCATCATCTTACAGCTCACTTAATTCATTTGGAACATGTTTTTTTCAATACCAAGACTGAGCCACATCACCTGGTTTCCTCTGGTTCTGGGTATCTGTGCTGACTTAGGGCCTCACCGCCTCATCCACATTGGGTAAGGAAGACCAGAGGAGTGGGTGCATTTGAATTGTGGTGCTGGAGAACACTGAAGAGTACCAGACACTCCTAAAACAACAAACAGGTGTGACTCAGAAGTAAGACCAGAGTGTGTCTTAGGAGCAGGGATGGCGTGGCTTCAACATATACTTTGGACATGTTGTCAGGAGAGATCAGTCCTTGGAGGTCGCCATGCTTGGGAAATTGCAGGGGCAGCAAAAGGGAAGGCCCTTGACGAGACTAGCTGACCCAGAGTCTGCCACAATGGGCTCAGGTAGAGGAACAACAGTGAGGAAGCTGCAGGACTGGGCTGTGTTTCCTTAGGGTGCATGGGCTCGCAGCTGATTGCACAGCACCTACCATCCACCCTTGTTTCATCTCCTTTAGCCCCCTACTCTTGGAAACTTGTCTTGCTTGGGCTAGGTGAAACAAGATCATCTTTTATTTGCAAAAGACAGAGTCATGAAGAGGCAGAATCAACCCATGCTTTTATTTCCACTGCATATAAAAAGTTCATATGAAGGTATTGATGTACAGTACTATCCACATGGGCTGAAGAGGCTAAGAAATCACTAAGAGAATCATCATTTGTAATGCTCACACACATTGCTACTCAGAAAACATATCCAAAGGAGAAAAAAAAAGTTTTTTAAAGCCAAAATCAGTAAGGATGACTTTTGTAATTATAGTGTCCCCTTTATACTGTTTAAAACAAAAGTAATCAAATTCCTTTGGGCCAGGGCTGCTAAAATCTACAGTTTGTGTCAAAAAATAAAAAATAAATAAAACAACAGGAGGCTCATTTTTCCTAGAAAAAGAATCTCTCCTTTCACGGATAAGTCACATGTTCCAAGGGCTGGGCAGCCGTGGAAGTGGGTTTCCACATGGTCCACTGGGGATTTTCCTTAGCTCTCAGGAGTTGGCCATTATGCAAGGGTAAGTTTAAAAATCCTTAAATCGTATAGTACAGGCCATCCCGTTACAAACATCCACTTGAGAGGCAACTCGCAATTTGCCCTCTCATGGTGTGTAAACTCGCCCTCGCAGTAAAACGCCAGACGCAATTCCTTTTCACGTTTCAACACAATCTCTGCCACACACTACATGTGCAATTTTTTAAAATCACTGACAAGGCATCAAGCCATCCCTTGCTAAACTGAAAGCTAAAATCCATATGCACCTCTTCTGACTTACCTATGAACTCACGGGAAAGACCCACTTCCGGGACAGATCTCATTCGCAACCAGGGGCTGCCTGTGCACTCACTGAAGCCAAAGTTGTAGAGAATGCAAGGAACCCTTTGTGCGATGTGGACCGGCATCCTCCAAAAGTGTTTAAACCGACTGGTATACATCTAAGCAGCTTGGTTGATGTTTACAAAAAGTCTGTGGTGAAAAAAATCCACCTACTTCTTACTATATATTCTTATAATGTGATGCAGTAAATACCTAACGAAGGTGGGCCCTATGGTTCTAGCTCCACACCAAGTTCATTCCCCTGTGTCCTAGAAGTCAGCGGCTTGCTATACACACGGACAAGACTATCTTCCCAGTAATGTAAGTAAAATACAACCCTCTGACCGACTAACCGAAGTAGTCACTGATGAACAGCCAGGCCTGCCTCACCCGGGGGTCTCAGAAGCATCCAAAGGTTGGCTGTGGTTTTGTCAGCTCCAATGACTGCCAATCATCCTATCAATTCAGTTCTGTGGTAAAGTGCCCAGCCCTAGCCCCACCACTACCTTACTTTCAAATGCAGCAAAACAGAAGAAAATATTGGTTAAAGTTAAGGCACAGCCCTGGGACCAAAGACCTGCAGCTATGGTTTTTTTTTCTATTAATTTATATATCTTTATGTATTTTATAGTTTTGTTGAATCTTCCATAAACAATCTCTAAAGTGACAAGACTAAATTACAAGAGAAAATAAAATGTACAAGGAATATGTATACACACCATTCATTCTCTCACCAAGAGTTTCCAAATATATCAACACCATCCCCTTCCTGGGATGATGTTTTAATAAGAACGGATCATTTACAATTAACATTACAGTATGTACATTACAATAAATACATGGTTGTAAACAGACAAACAAGACTGTATTACAGGTAAGGGCATTTGGTGAGAAAAAAATGCATGGCACAAAAAATAAATAATGCATTCAAAAATTATCATAAAGCTTTCTGTAAAATCCATTTCATTCAAGTTTTTTTTAAACCTTAACTACAAGTTGTTCTATCTACCATTATTTTCTTGTGAACTTTGATGTAATAAAACAAAATGAAAACAGCATCATTGTGTTCAGCAACTTGCAAGCTGAAAAGTACTGGTTTTACGCACAATTGGTAATCCTCCTCCCCTCCCGGCACATACAGGAACCACAGAGTGCATTTTCTGCCGGTATAGTAGAAAATGAAAAGCCGCTTGTAAAAGGATGAGTTCCTCCCCAAAGCAGTGGTTTCAATTCTGAAGCAGTTTGGCAAGACAGGACAGAGGGAGGGGACAAGCAGACTGTAGAGTGCAGCAGTCCCTGTCTCTCGGGGACTACACTTTTCCTGTAGTTGGACTGTCCACCTCCTTCACAGCATGGTACCATTGACACCCAACAAACGGGGGGTGGGGGACACCCACTTTCATTAGACTTACACACCCACTCAGGTCTGCATTTGTGACACATTGCTGCTCTTCCTCCCCTTCCACCCCCCACTGATTCCAAGCACTCACGAAATAGGAAGGGGAAGGGACACGAGTACTTTGGCAGGAGAATAACCCCAGGCTCTTTCCTCAGACAGTCCTCCCTGGATTGTCCATCTGGGGCAAGCACAAGGGGAGGAGGGGAAAAAAAACAACCCATTCCCAAATGTTCTTGGGGAAACATTTGTTCAGACATGATTATTCACTGGAAAGATGTCTGTTGGCTTGAGTTCCACAGCGGGCAGAAATCTGGTCAGGATTTGATTTCTACACTGCTCTTCCTGAAAGATCAGTGCTACAAAGACATTCTCGTTGAAAGGCTCTGAGTGGCAGCCCGTTCTCAAGGGGTTACAATGGCAACTCTCTTCAGCATGGGCGATTTCCCTGGCTCATGCTACTGACAGCCCCACAAAGATGGTCTGAGAAGTCGCAAATATCAAGTGTTTTGCAGGGTTACAATTTTCCTTTTATTTATTTTCTATTTCGTCAGGCACACTCTGAGTGTCCACCTCAGTGCTTCCCTATCAATATGGAAACGGATTATCTGGGACCCAAGTTCTTCACAGAGGGCAGGGGACAACTCGGGGAAGGGTTGAAATGGAAGCCATGTCCAAAGGAGCTAAGTGGCCGATAACATCACCTGGATCAGCAGGTAAATGAATCAGCCTCTAAAATGACAACAGTGGCTTCTGATTTTTTTATTTTATTGAGGCAGCCTCTTCCTGCCCAGATCTAGTTCTTTCAGGGCTGCACGGCATCGCACTGACCCTCTAGGGCTAGGGATGCCATCCACTTCTGGCCCTCAGAATATTGAAAGCAGTTCTCTACCAGACCTGTTCTCTACCAGGCACTGATGACTGAGGGAGCAACTCCCCCCCACTGTGTGGTTGTCCAACAGCGTCATCGCCACCCTTCACACTATGTCTCAAGTCCTTCATCGCAAGCTACGCAAAGGAATTAGTTGTCCTGGTGTTTGCCTATGTATCCTGTTACTGTTCTTTAGATCTGCCCCCTAGCCATGAAGATTTCCTTGTAAACCAAGAGTCAAAGCTGGTCTTTGTACTTGACCTTGTGGCATACCCGGCTTCGCTTCCTGTGATGTTCTCAATCAATCAGAATGGTGGTGATATATTTGATAAGACCCCCTTCAAACACACGCACATAATTAAATAGGGCAGCACACCAGGAAAAAGACAAGGAATAGGTTTCTTACTACACCTGACTGCGAAAACAAGATCAAGGAGCAGGAGATGGGTGACTTAGGACGAAGACATGCACCTGTGAAGTGAGGGATGACGGACGTAGCAAACAGCAGCAGACACTCGGTAGGAAAAAGTGTCTTTAAAAAAAAAAAGACTGATCATTTTAGCTACTGTGTATTTCTATATTCCGCACTTGCTTCAGACAACACTGACTGATGATGGCGTTTCCACGAGGCTTGAGACACATTAGACAGAACACACATCGCAATAGTACGGAACATTCACTTTGCACAGTGCAGAAAGGCGGCCAGCGGTGGGAGCAAGCCTGCTCATCTGGAAAGAGTGAGATGCCAAAAAACAAACACACAAAAAGGTAAGGTAATGAAGGCCTGCTAAAAAAAAGGCGGGGGGAGGGGGTTTCCTCATAACATAAATGTCTTAAAACATGGAAGCCATTGGGATACCAAACAACGAGTCACTACGAATCAGTTCATTGCTATGAACTATGAAGGTGCAAGTCAAATTGGTAAATTTGATTTCTCCAGTGTAGCACAGACTTATACTAAAAACTTGCAAGTTACTCCTTAGGAGGAAAAAAGCAACAACATTATTAAAAAAAAAAAACAACCAGTGGCAGATGGAGTTCTGAACATAGTTTTGTTTTTTCGTTTTTTAAATATAATACCTCGATACATTTAATCATAAAAGTAAGCTCTACAAAAAATCTTGTTTTACATATCATACAAAATGCCGAGGTCGGTGCAGCTCACGGGCCCGCCCTCGTCAGTCATGTAGCAGGAAGACTTGAAATTAGAAAAGTAAGCAATTTCTGCGGCTCATCTTCCCCCTGGTAACACTCACGCTGCGTCTTCCTCCTGCCGCATCAGCTGCGCCACCCACCAGGTCCCGCCGTCTGGGGAGACAACGCCTTGCTTCTGAAAGCGGCAGAAACCAACGAAAAGGAAAGAACCCGCAAGGCGCTGGAGGCACACTCCCTTTCAGACTGCGTTGGCATTGGTTGTATCTGCTTGGCCAGCTCCCTCGAGCTGAACGCTTGTGAAGATGCTGTCTGTGAAAGGGGTGTCCCCTCCCCTCCACCCCCCGCTCTGACATGGAGGTTACAATATTCCTGAGCGCCAGACTGAGTAGTTAGTCAAGGTCAGTTTGTTCAACACACGTCCTGGCAGATGACAGTGAGGGGTGGCCATGGCGGTGGCATGTGACATGCACTTTGGAAACAATTTTTCTACTTAAAAAAAAATAAGGAAGAAAGAAGAGGAAAATTTTAAAAAGAAAGGAGAAGAAAGGAGCGTGGGAAGGTTTGCCCTGTTACGTGTCGGGGGAATGCTCGTCGACACAGGCTTCGGCCTGGCTTTCCGTCTCCTCCCCCACGGCCTCTTCTTCCACCTGCTCGTCCAGGGTGATCTCGGTGGACTCCGAGTCCTGGGTACACAGAGTCTTGGAGTCACTGCAGCTCGTGTCTTCCTCCACTTGGCTCCCACTGTCCTTTTCTGTGTCTGACTCGCCATCTTCTTCCAGCGTGAGTTCAAACTGGAACTTCTCTGTCTGACCCTGGCGCCCGTCCTCCGGGTCGTCAGGGGCGGGGGAGGGGCTCTGTGGGATTGTGCTCTGGTACCACTCGCGATTGTCCTCCAAAGTGTCCAAAATGTCCTGGGCGTCGGGATGGACGAGGTCTGCCCATGTTTCCCAGAGCGGGTGGACAATATAGTCTATAAAGCCCACCTAGATCGAAAAGAAATGGGGGGGGCGGAGAAAATTTGAGTGAGGGACTTGAGACTAAAGGACAGGAGAAGACCGGACCACGATCCTAGCTCAAAATCTAGTACTGGACAAAATCTAACTACCTTGATTTTGGCTCTGGACAACACACCACGTGAAAGTGCCCTTACTAGCTGGTGGAAAGAGACTCCTAGAACCCTTAGTTGAAGAGGGTGTTTACAACGTAAGGCATTTCCGGTTGTCTGCATGGACCGTATTTTACAATAGCCAGTGTCTGGGTGGATCCAGCTGAAGGAAGTGCTCTTACCGGCTGCTGTTGATTCTGAGTCATGGCCAATCTGCGTGAGTCACAGCAGAAGCGTGCTCGGATGGGGTTTAAGGGCAGATTTTTCCCAAAGTAGATCACCAGGCCTTTCTGCTGAAGCCCCTCTGGGCAGCCTATTAAGTCCAGCCTTCTGGCTGGCAGCAGTCATTACCTGTTGGTATGACCGAGGGCCTGTAACTGCTGTTGTTCGGTGCCCTGGGGCCCATTCTCAACTCCTAGTAACCCGTGTGAACTAACTACCCCAGAGTTCTCTTGGCTGCAGTCTTTCAGGGACTTCCTCAGGAAGCTGCAGCGAGGGTCTGACTCGCCAGCCTTTAGGTCAGCAGGCAAGCGCTTAACCATTGTGTCACCAAGAGTTCTACATAAATTGGATCTGCAGTTCTCAACCTGTGGGTCACGACCCCTTTGAATGACTCTTTCACAGGGGTTGCCCAATTCATAACAGTAGCGAAATTACAGTTATGAAGTAGCAACGAAAATAATTTTATGGTTGGGGTGTCACCACCACATGAGGATTCAAGGGTGGTGGCACTGGGGAGGTTGAGAAGCACTGAACTAGATGAGTAAGTCCGAAGGATGAAAGTGCTTCTTGGTTCATAAATGCTGACATGAATCTGCGCTGGTCAAAAGCACTGACTTTAAGAAAGCGCCACAAAATCCCGTGTGCCGCGTGCACTCCGCCTGGCAGCGTAAGGTACCTGTGTCTTTTCCACAGATGCATTGTGCTTGTCACACATGGGGCTGATCTCCATGCCACGCTCCCTCTCCCGGTCTCCTTGGCGGAAGAATTCCTCCATGATCCGGTCCGTCCATTGGCGGTACAGCTGGAGAGGCTTGGTGGGGTTGCTCAGATCGGCACAATGCACCATATTCTGAAGGACCTAAAGGAGACGGGGGCAGTCTCTGCTCAGCACCGGCACCTCCGCCTGGCTGTTTTTACTAGCGATTCACATCGGATGACTTGTGACTCTTAAAAATACACGTAGTGTAAGCTTTATCCCAAACAGCTCAACCATGATGTGTCTGTGTGGGTTCACACTTGTATTAATAGTCCCAAACCTTGCCACTTCCACTGCACCTAGCTATCAGAAGAGAAACTTGTTTATGTACAAACCAACCCCCTCAAAACCCCACTGCCATCAAGTGGAATCTGATTCAGGGTGACCCCACCGAGATTTCCCAGGTTTCCAAGACTGTAAATCTTTGTGGGAGCAGGCTGATGGGATTGAACTACTGACTTTACAGGCAGCAGTCCAACACCTACGACACTGCACCACCAGAGTTCTGTTGTATACAGTTGGTTAAGTTCTGTATGTATACAGTTGGTTAAGAGCTGTCTTTTGGATGTTAGTTGTTCCATTTTTAAGTGTATGGAAATGAAAACAGCAATACGATTTTACTTGGTTAAGAGCTCAGGAATAAGCAACTGTATAAAACCCCTAGTTATTATTACTGAATGTATAAGGCAGGAGAAGGGGGGGCGGATCATATGCAAAGTCAGCCAAATAGATACGCAGACACGCATGCTCAACACATATCCTCAGAGAGCAAACTCAATCAAGCAAAGCTTTACCTGAATCCGATCAGAATAGTTATCAAGAAGAAGAACCCCTGAGCTTGTCACTTTCTTAGTTTCAACCATGGTCTTCAAGTCAGCCAGGAGATTCATGTGTTTTGACATGTCTGTCGCAAGGACCTTAAGAGACAGAGGCATTTTATTACGTAAAACAGGCCAAGAGGGGAAAAGTGAGACTTTACATGCACGATAATACTATGCAGAATGTCTGAGGAAAACAGTGGGAAACTCTGTGACATCTAACAGGGGCATGTAGAAGGGTCTTTACTCCTTCCTGGAGCAGTTGGCTTTTCTGTTGTCAGGCCTCCTGGAGGCCCAGATCAAGATATCCGTACAGCAGAGGGGCAGAGTAGGACAATGACAATGAAGAGCGGGTGGGGGGTGGGGGGGCACAATGGTCTTGCCATCGGCTACTGCCACGTGCTATATAGCTGTTCCACACATTGGATTAGAGTGATTAATGCAGCAGAGGTAACTGACCCAAGGCTGATGATCAAATTCTTTAGAAACAGACTCCTCTGTTCATTCCTGCCTTTGTATATACAAAGCTTAACGAGGTTTCTGATATCCAGAGATTCCCCCGGAGTCTTATGATCATGCTACTACATGTAAGGGAAAGAATAAGGTCATGCTGCTTACAAATGTCCCTGTCAAAGACAGGGTTAAAGATGAGAAGAAGAAGAAAACCCTATCTGACTTAGGACCACCGTCCTCCGCTTGTTAGTCGTCGTTCTCTGCCTGCCCCCCGAGCGGAGGAGCTCAGACAATAAAACCTGAATAATGAGAGTGAGCTGCTGTCATTAGTCTTAAGTCCAACTGCTCAGAGTGGAAAACCGATTACAAAGCATCAGTGCCAGCAGTGCGGCGGCTTCCTTGAACACAAAGGGTCACAATGGGTTTTGAAACAGGGCTCCTCTCATCTGATCTTCAGCTCAGATGAACAAAACAAATAGCATCACAGTTTTCTCTTTTGCTATCAGCGGCTACTTACGATGTCAATGACCATCTTCCTTAATGATTGTCTTTGCTTTTTGGTCAAATTCTGGAAAATATCACAGTTTTCTTCCTGGAGCAACTTAAAACCCACAGCCAAATGATGGTTCTCCAAGACAGAGGAATCGTTGTACATCAAGGCAAGTTCAGAGTCTGAAAGCCAGACAAGAAGAAGACGATTAGCAGAGCGTCCGCTCTTACCTTATTCTTGATTTTCTAAGACCCTCTGGATTCTTGATATGATTGAACTTTTTTTTCTGCCCCACAGAGCTGGCTGGTGGTTTTGAACTGCTGACCTTGTGGTTAGCAGCCCGTCTCATAACCACTACGGCCCCAGGGCTCCAACCTTCTGGATTCAGCATGCAAATTTTCCCTAGACATGTCTGTTGTTCTTATATGACAACACCCAAAAGAACATCCTGGATGATATGACAGTGGAAAGAGCAGTGGGAGCTTGGAAATGAAGTCACCATGGGTCTCAACTCCATTTGCTAACTCGAAAGAAAAGCCGGACCAGTGACCGTCCACCTCTTCTCCAAACCCAACCACAGGCACTCGGCCTGATAAGTTCAGCACTTACTGTAAGATGTACAACACCTGCAACCTATGTAGATCAGAGGGGCTATGTTCCTGATGGCTGGGATTACTCAACCTGTTCTATCTTCAAAAACCACATGACTATGGGACTGTTGTGTTTATACTCAGAGATGATGTAAGGATGATTTGGAACATGTAGGCAATTTTGTATTTGTTTCTATTGCGCTTACTTGTGTTTCTTCTGTAGCATTGCTTTTTTCTTTCCATTTTTCTATTTTCACTTCCCCCTGCTATTTTTCAGCCTCAAGCCAGTCACTATGTAACTTTGTCCACGCCTCTGGACCATACAGTATTTTACTTCCTACATAACTTTTGGCAAAGAAATCTGCAGCTCTCTTACCACACCACCCCCAGACCTGTGCATGGTCATGAATAAAAGCACCCCCCCTCCCTAGTTCCTTGCCCAGATCTATAAGCTGGTCCTTAAAAAATAAAATATAAAAGAAGAGTGCTTTATTCTGTTTCCACTTAAGTTATTGTCAAGACAAAAAGCACACGGATTTGCCACTTCCCCCCCTAACACATGCATGGAAAATATTTCAAAATATGTATGTTTTCTAAGAAAGATATCACCCAACCTTACAGCCACACAAACAGAAGAAAATGAACAACTTAATATCTATTAACAGGGGGTGAGTTAATGTAGTCATTTTCTATGTCCAAAACAACAAAAAGGCTAAAGGCAAACCTCCACTGTGTTAACCTGTATGTCCTAGCTCAGTGTGTACTTGGGGGGCTTCCAAAAGCTCGTGGAAGATGAACTGAAAGACAATGGGAGTTCAGGAAAGCTCTCGTTTATGTGCTTAGGAGACAAATCTTTAATGGTGTTCACCAAGATGTACCCATTATCTTTGAGCGTGGAATTTCAAGTGATTTCTCCCTTTCTTCTATATGCCCCATATTATTTGGACCTCATTTTATCAGTATATATAAATTTTATCAAAAGCTTATTTTCTTAAAAAAATTCAAGCATGGAAAATGACATGTAAATCGCAAATCGATCACTTTCTTAATACGTAACATAGGCAAATTCAATACAGAACACTTTTAGGCATAAATAAATGCAGACTTATCCCATCATTGTTTGAGGTAAAATGGTCACAAGTTTAAGATTCCCCCAGATCTGGCCTGAAAATCATCTCCAAGACTCTCTCCTTTTGGACTTAGCTGTTTAGCATGGGTCTTCCTCACCAGACTAGTGTGAGGCGTCTGGGAGTAGCCATGTGAGGTCCGAGGTCACATGCCGTTTGAAGGTTTATGCCACAGTAGTTAAGGATCGATTTGAGGTAACATGCTGACTGAAGGCTTCTACGAGAATCGTAAAGTGACACAACACTTATAAGACAGCAGTAGAGTGACATCCTGTCCACACTGCCTCTGCATAGATTGAGGACTACAACTCTGATTGGAAACCTACATTCTGAGAGCTCTCCTTGTGAGAGAAATAGAGTAGAAAACAGAAGCAGAACTTCTAGGCAGGAGAGCAGTTTATTTACTTAAAAGGCCCAGGGAGTAAAAGGAGACTGGAAGCTTTGATGATGGCTAGAATGGCCGGGGAGCCGAACACGGTCTATTATGAAGACCGAATGCAGGAATGATTAAGATGAGGCCGACACTAGAAATCCTTGTGTACAAGGGCCTTGTAAGAGTTAGGCTGTTTGCTCTTCTCACGGCTGGCTCCTGTGAGGGTTGGGCTAGAATTAGAACATGACCGTGCCACGACATCACAGGAGGAAGGCACGGAAATCTGAGCCAAGCAGTCCTCCTTGAATGGTGGAAGGAGAGTGCGGGTCTCACTCTGTCACTTGCCAAGGATGAAAGAATAAAATCGCAGGGCTCCCTCCCCTTCAGTTCATTCATCTCTGTCCGCTCGCCCTGCATGAGTTCTCCCCACAGACCAGCACTTAGTACTGATGGGACACCTTCGCTTGGTGCCTTCTATCTGTCACTTCCAGCAGAATAGAGGCTCTTTGTGGGCCAAAAGGTAGTCTTACGCACCGGTGTCTCCCGGTGTCTAGCGTGACATAGTTCTTACCGAATAAAATAACGATCTCTGTATAACCATCAAACTCATAAAACCCACACCCCCTCAACCACAGCAACCCTCTAAGGCAGAGTAAAACAAGGGTTTTTTAGGATTTCTGAGCCTATAAGTCTGTATTGGAGCAAACGGGCACAGCTTTCTCCCATATATAATAATTGTATTCGGTAAACATTAAATTAATCTTATTTAGAATGTATGTTTATAAAAACGAAAGCAAGAACAAAAAGCAAAGGCCTACATACACTCCACAAATACAGCTCTGCAGGAAGCTCATTCTAAAATAAGATCAGATTTGTGAACGTGGGTAATCTGCAAACGAAAGGAAGACGCTGGATGGATCCTTATAGCAAATAGAAAAATTAATTTAAAAAATAAAAAAAAGATCTACATTTCAGAGCTAAAGCTATAGTAAACTCAGAAGAAAGCGGAAGGGCTAATCTTTATGACCTTGGATTTTGGCTCTGCTTTCTTAAATAAGATGCCAGAACAAACAAACGAGAGGCAAAAAAAATAGATAAATTGGATTTCATCAAACTTAAAAAACATTTGTGTATCAAAGGACACTATCAGGATAGGGAAAAGGCAAGCCACAGAATGGAAGAGAATCCTTGCAAACAATATGTCTGATAAGGACAATATATACACCAGATACATAAATTCCAGAACTCAACAACAAATAGATGACTCACTAGGAAATGGGCAAATGACTTGGAATAGGCATTGTAGACAATTGGCCAATCAAGGTGTTCAACATCATTGTGCATTAGAAAAGTGCAAAATCAGAAACATATAAGATACCACTTGACACCCAGTAGGATGGTTCTTTAAATAAAAGCCTACTGAAATAACAAGTGTTAAGAGCTTAAAAAAAAAAAGAGCTTTTAAGAACCCCTAATAAAAATGATTTTTAGTTACATTTTAAAAATTAAATAAATACAATTTTTTAGATGAAAAGCAATAGCAACAACAACAACAAACAAGTGTTGGGAGTAGCTGGAGAAACAGTCATTTGCACATTGCTGGTGAGAACAAAAATGGTGCCACTATTGGTACAACAGTGTGATGGTTCCTCAAAAAGTGAAACACACAATTACCATATGACCAAGCAACTCCACTCCTTGACGTATACCCCCAAATTCCACTCCGTGACGTATACCCCCAAATGACAAAAGCAGGGGCTCAGACACTTGCACATCTGCGTTCATTACTGATACACGTGAACAGCTCCTTCATCAATCGTTAAATCATGAATGGAGGGTAGAACCCTATTACCTTGGGTGAAGGGTGGGCAATGCATAACAAGAAAGAGGAGAGGTCAGCACAAATGATCAAAGCCAAGGAAGACTCTGGGAGGGAGGAGTACAAGGCTTAAAAGCACCAGAGGTCAATACAAGGGGGTTTCAAAATGCTTGTGGAAAAAATTCTATTATCTTTAATCCCATTTTCATATTTACTTTCGCTGCAAACATGTTCATAAATATAGCAGAGCACACAGAGGGTACAGCTATTAAAATTTCTTAGTCATTAACACCTTGAGGGAATAAATTCCTGAATCTGGGGGCTCTGGCCCAGAGTCTGGAGGGGACAAAGTTAACTGGCATAACATAGCTCCCAAATACTGCTTTAGATTCTACTTTGGTGAGTTGACAAGGGGTTTATTACAATTTCACAGGTGGTCGAAGGTGTCCTTTACAGCATCCCATGACGTGAAAACTTAGGCTGATGGCAACGAAAGCCTCTTCTGGGTCATGATGAAATACTGGCACGATCTAGCCAAAAGCTAAGTTAACGAGATGATTCTGACAACTCTCTGGACCCTCTGATACTTTCAAGTATCAAGTGATGATGTTGATTCCTTCTCTCAGGAATACTCGCCCCACCTCATCACAGCCCACCCTCAACAACAACAAAAGCAATCGGAAGTCGTTCTGGAGACAGTCGACTCCCCTGTGTAGCCGAAATCCCATAGAAGGCGGTCAGCGCCCAATATCACACGATGACAAAGAAACTGCCCAAAGCAGGTAAGTCCTCTTTCTCCCCAAGGCAGGTCAGCAGCAAAACGGCCTTAAAAAGATGATCCGTGGCTGCTTCTGCCCTTGTTTCTGTAATTACCCCCAGACTTCTTCATTATCTAGCTCAGTCGCTCTCCAACTTTGGAGGCCATCGAAACCACCTGCAGCATCAAGGCCCTTCTCATTTGGCCTAAATTCCCACCAAGCATCTTCACGGGCCACGCTCAGTCCACTGTCCTTAGACACCCACAGGATGAACAGCGCACAGCTGGTCCTCATCTTCCTTAAAAAACCTATCACACAACTTAGAACACAGTGCCTTTGCTCGCAGTTGTTTTCATTGGCTCTCTAATTGATTTCCTAATTTGAATGCAATCATAGGGAACACACCAAACTTTTATAATAAGATACAAACAAACCACACCTGTCTAAATTTTTGGTGTTCATTTAAAGAGAGGGAGAAACATACCTTTCTTAAGAGTAATATTGAATTAAAATCCAAATGTCTTTGTGTTTGGTAAAATAAATTCATAAAATAAAACTAGAGTCTTACAAAGACACATTTATAGGTAAATCATAGTGCCAGCATACAATGTATTTCGAGAGCTCCTTGCTCAACTCGGGTCGCTGATCCCATATAAGCCCACACAGCTGCCCTGAGATCACAGAGCACTATGTGTGATCAGAGTGAGGAAAATGCTCTCATGACACTTGCAAGGACCCCACTGTAGGTTCTCATTAGGTAGTGGAAATATGAAATGTTATCCTGTGTAACTGTGGATAGATCAGGTCATAAATTAAACTACTAAAATGTACTTGTTATTCTCTGCGCGTCTCAGGAAACTCTCCTCTCTACGTGAGGGCCTCACTGAGGTGCATTCTGATACAGGGTGGTCCGGAGGCTCTTACAAGATGTAAAAATATATCTAAATCAGCCTTTAAGTCTGAGTGCAATCCAGAAGGGAGCAGGGCTACACTGAAATTTTCTCTTTAAATCCAGCCACATACAGGTTATGAATGTACCATGGGATGCTCTGGGGCAGGAGAAGGCTAGCATCCAAGGCACAAAAAAAAAAAGGGACACACTCTTAGTTGACATTAGAAAGCTTTTTCAATAACTCGGCATCTTATTTTGTCTCTATGAAAGGGATTTGAAAATCCTAGTCTCCCATAGCAGGGATTTATTTAAAATCTTGTTCAGAGGCTAATCTAAACATTCCGTGCAGAGGCCCTCTGGATAGCTGTGTGCCAGAGATGCCTCAAATTAAACAGTCCTTATCATCCCTTAAGGCAGCAGTTCTCAACCTGTGGGTCACACGATCCTTTCACAGGGGTCGCCCGATTAATAACAGTAGCAAAATGACAGTTTTGAAGTAGCAACGAAAATAATTGTATGGTTGGAGGGCGGGTCACCACAACATGAGGAACTGTATTAAAGAGTCACGGCATTAGGAAGGTTGAGAGCCACGGCCTTAAAAAAATCTGGTGGCCTAGTGGGTTACGTGTTGGGCTGCTAAGCACAAGGTTAGCAGTTTGAAACCACCAGTCGATTCAAGGGAGAAAGACAAAGCTTTCTACTCCCGTAGAATTATAACCTTGGAACCCCACAGGGGCAGCTTGACACGCTCATACAGTCCACTCCGCTATGAGTCAGATTGGACTCTATGACATGAGGTGAACTGTCCTCCCAGACTTCTCCAAAGTCGGTGCTCATGACATCTTATGTGATGAAATGTCACTGGCGGGGGGAGGTGGATGAAGAAAAAGAGTTCAAGGTTGAAAGATAACAAATGAGAACAGATGCTCCTGCTGCCTCATTAAGAGATTTACAAAGGAAACTCCTGGGTTGGGCTCCTGGCAGGACAGGAAGAAGTCACAGCTTGTGACCAGGATCAAAGGCCAAGCTCTATCAAGTGAGACGGTTCACGTTGATTCCCTTAAGCTTCTTTTTGTTTCATTTAGAGCTTGAGAGGCAATATTCTAATCTTTCTATAGGCTTTCATGTTGAGTACCCTACTCTACCAATACACTCATGTATTACAGAAGTGCTAGAATTCAGGTGCTCCTCCTCCCCCAGTCCCTCTAAACAGCATCTGCTTTATGGGCTGTCACAATTAATTCCATGGCTGCATTCCATTAAAATACACTATCGTTAAAGAACATATTTACACATCTCAAATGACTATAGCTGTATATAGAATGAAAGAAACATCCACGTTTATAAAATCCCTCTCAGTCGTTCAAAAATGTACGAAGAAAGAATTTCCTCAGCATAAATAAGTAAGTACAGGGGCTGCACTTACTTGTATTGATCAGAAACTGATTTGAGACCCCAGGATGGTCTACATCATGTATTGCACTGGCAAAAATTGCTGCAAGAATCTCCAAATCCGTAAACACAGCCTGGAAAAGCAGACAGACAATACATGTGGCATTACTAATCTATAATACAACAAAATACCAATCTATGATACAACGAATTACTAATCTATGATACAATGAATTACCAGTCTATGATACAACGAATTACTAATCTATGATAGAACGAATACACCTATACTGAATGGGAACTGATTCTTAGGCATTATTTTAAGAAAATAAAATGAAGCTTCAAAATATATTATGATGTATAAGAAAGAGGTTTTAGGTAAAGGAACACCTATGCCTTTTTAAGTGCCACCCTCTAAGAAAACCTACTATCTAATGTTATTACATCTCGTGACTAAACCTTTCCCATTGGTTATATGTATATTAAAGGTTATTATAAAAGGAGAGTCTGAAATTCTTTAAAGAAACAATTAGCTTGTTGTAAAAATATTTAAGGTATTTTAAGAATCTTCTGAAAACATAGGACATGAGCAGCGATTCCCCCACCCCCTTTTATCCAAACCAGGATGAGACCTCAGTACCACTGAAAATTTGGGACAGAAAAGTATTTGTTGTGGAGGCTGTTCTTTGCATTACAGAATGCTTAGCAGCACCCCTGGTCTGTGTCCGCTACATGCCAGCAGTCTAGCTGGGACATAGCTCTAGACACTAATAACTGTCTCCTGGGGACTAGTGGGATGGAATCCATTCTAGTTCAAGACTATTGATCCAACTATACGGTATTAGCAACAGTTAATAATGAAAACCACCTTAATCGTAAAAGATATTTGCAAGAGAAACTACTTTCCCAAAGCATTTAAGCAAATCCAATTGCTTAGTAAAGATTTAATGGAGTAACTTCTTAGGATTTGATAAAAATTAAAGGAAGCACTTCCCTCTAATAAATTCTACGTTAAAAAAAATCGGGGCATTGCTTAGAGAAATTTTATAAAATAGTCATCCTTTAAACTATCAATATAAAAGCTAGCAGAGTAGATATTTCAAGGTACATATATGAAGTACATATACAATGTCCACTAGAGCACTTCAAAGACGCAGTACTGACGACAGATGAAGCCCTAAGCTCTGGGTCACTTTCATCGGCCAAACCCATCTGTTACCCACAGCAACAGTTTCCCCTAGAACTCAATTAGCCTCTGCATGCACTTTCATATACAACTATAAAAGTTGGGAACAGAAGTGGCAATTCCTGAAATGTAGACAATCGCTTTACCTCCAAAGCAGGTGTTGACAGTAGCACATGAGTAGACTGAACGACGTCGGCAGCATGGATGTTGTTGTGATAGGCCACATCAGCGTGGTAATGGTCTTCGAGAGTCATAAGGTAGGTAATTAAAGTATCTACTGGAATCTTAAATGTTTTCAACAAATCCCGCTCCTGCAGAAAAACAACTCCTCTTAACACTCCTATCTTTACAGATATACACAGACATAGAGAGATGTGAAACAATTCCCATAGAGCATTAATGAAAATATCACATGCCGGTATGTATGGCCTACAGATGACAAAAATGGTTCCTTCACAAAACTTAGTGAGAAACACGGAAACCAATGGAAGATAAAGCGAGTTCAGGGACAGAACAAAATTCCACTATAGAACTGAAGTGGACTTTACTCAAAATGTACAGGGTTGGGAATGAGCTGTCAAGTGTCACAGCTCCCATCTTCCAAATATCATGAGGTCACTTCAGTCCAGTCTTGCTGGTCAACCACTGGAGCCCACAGTCTGAAACGCAACCCCTCCTAGGTTTGGAGTCTGCCATTCCAATCCCCAGTTTACTAGAGCTTCAACTTCTCATGGAGATCCCAAATGCTAGCTGGGGACGAAGAGAGCCCGGTTCAAATGAGAACTGGACATGGAAAAGATATCAGTAGGTGAATAATAAAAATGAAAATTACGCTTTAAGGTTTAGTTAACAGGGGACTTAATAGCATTCTATTATCTGAGCTCGCCAGGGTCATAATGTTATCTTCCAACCATCACTTTAATGAAATGCTTCAATCTTCCCATACTACATCTTTTTCTTAAATGGAAAAACAAAATTGATATATTTGTGTCTTACATTCTATCTTTCTGTACCCTTATTTGTTCCCAGGTAAAAGGGCCAATAATAAGCTTAAGAGGATGCATAAAGAATGAGATGAAACCTATTTTTATGTACATCCTCCCAAGACTAGACATCAAGTGCCCAGGTAAAAGAAATGTGTCAGAATTTCACCGGGTTTACCTGAAAAATGGTGTGCATGATAACAGTCAGAGGCCGGTTCCCAGACAGCTCTGCTACTCGGAAAACATGAAGACCCCATTTGTTCACATCCTCTAGTTCCTGGAATGACCAAAAGATACCATAAAATAAGCCAATCAATGAACCCAATCGTTGAACAATTACTGATTTAGCACAAAGATGTCCATTTTTTTCCATCACTAAATGCTGTGGCTGAAACAGTATCAATACAGGCAAAGATTGTGCAAGCTCATTTAAATGTACTGAAAACGGAATAGCACTTCTTAACCTTACGACTTTGCTAACGCGAGTATTTACATACTTTGGATCTTAATGTCACAGCATTTCTTCGCTGGATCAAATTCATTCATTAAAGCTAATTTAATTCTCAAAAAAAAGAGATAAGAATACAGAGCAGTCCTCTTTTTTCCCTCCTTTCTTTTTCATTTTCTATCTATCTTGAGCTGACTTCTAACTCTCTAAGTTCAAAGACTAAAATGGAGAGGTCAAAAGCAAAGAACATACCATCCACCTGCCTAGTCCACATGTTAATGAAGCACAAATAATTCAGAGAGAGCTGTGCAGAGTACGTCCAAAGACACCAGACACACCCACGTATGTCTCTGCTCTATATGTGTGCAAGAACGACTCCACACTCCTTCATTCCCACAAGGTCCCTGACGTCACGGTACCTTGGCCAGGACGTCTTCTTGTTCGGTTTTCACTCCAAACCTTGGGATACTGGAGTTAGTCAAACTGGAGCTGTGCATCAACTTCTTGACTCCACTGATCTGAGACATCGGCCTTTTCTTTTTCTCTTTTTCCTTTTGAGTTGGAGAAGGAATTTCCACCTCATGTTGTTTATCTTAAGAAATTGAGGAATTTTATACATTAATTATCGACTCCTGTTTTTTGAAGTCCCAACAGACACAAGGGGCACGGTCCCAGTGATCACAGTGTATGCTATGAAATGGTTCCAAGGCAAGCCCATTGGAGAAAAGCTGGGTCTTCACAGTTTGATACACACTTCACTTGGCGGCGCTGAGCATGACTGCTGCCAATACATCTGGTTGCAGAGTCTCGGACAGCAAGCGCGACAATCAGTGGTCACTTTATTGATACAACAGATGCCCTGATAATTTCATTGTTAATGAGACTTTTCATGATAGCTACGTAAAAGCAAATCACACTGTTGCCACTGGTCATCAACTGTATTCCTATTTGAAATCTATTTAGAGGCTTGAAAATTACCCTTGCAAGGAAGGACCCCAGTTATAATTGTTAATTTCAAAATGGTGGCGTCGGCACACCCCAAGTCCTAAAAACAACAATATGGAAGTCTAAAAGCTTATCAAAGTGGGTTACCCTGTGGTCGCAGCAGCATTTGGGGATGACTTAAATCATTTCTACTACTCTTGAATGTCCTGTGCTATACTGAGATCAGGTGTACGATGTTTCAAGTTTTTTATGGGACAGGGGATTTCTGATATTAACTGCTATGCATGTGCACAGATTGTGATTTTCTAAGAAGACATAAGATGCCACTAATTCCACACAGCCAGCTGATCTTTGTGCATGGAGGTATGGATTAACAGAAGTCTGCTTAGTGCGTGTGTTAATTAGATAGTACAGCGGTTGTACTTGAAAGTGAATGGAGTCCAGGATCCGTTCAAGTTCCTGATTTTGTTCATTCTATGTTATTCCAGTAGACGAGGAGGGAGGTTCTACAACACCACACTTTCAGCTGTAATCACATTTTTTGGTCAACAACGGTGTGGTCTGTGAGCCTCACTGGCTCATTAATGGGCTTGGTGTCCACGACAGTCAATTAGGTTGGCCAGTAAGGAAGATTTGCCATTTAACAAGCATTTTACTGACTCCAGGCAGAGATCTTGGTGTAAGATATATTTTTAACGAGGCTACTACTTTGAGAGCCCTGGTAACATAGAACCTAATTCATAGAGTCCCTGAAGTTGAACAGATGTGAAAGAATTTTTAAAATGTTATCTTAGCTTCTAAGGCTTAGAGGATCAAATTAGTGGTAAGACAGGTGAAAACCAAATGCAATTGCTAAAGCTTGCTTGGTTTCAAAGTAAGTCAGTGCTGACAACCCCTCCGAAAACAAACTTAAAAGAAACAGTTCAAATCGCCCATTATTCTCACCTAAGAATGTGTTTGATATGTACTCGGAGACTTGATTTCCAGATCGACTCATTTCAGAGAGATGGGTGAGCTCCCGATTAAGCATCCTTTTGAACTGGAAAGGGAAAAAGAAAAATTTAAATGACATTACATAAACATACTCTCAGACCTAGAAAAATAAACACAAGACATGTAAACATGACCCTCATATCGAGTTTAGGCCAGCATCATCCAACAGAGCTTTCAGCGATGATGGGAAAGGTTTAGAACCTACCCTGACCTGCGTGCTACCTCCTAGCCCCAGGTGGCTAGTAGATGCCTTAAAACATGGCTACCCTAAATGAAAACTACTTTAATTCGATCACATTGGAGTAGCGACACATTTGTCTAGTGACCTCCATACTGAATGACACATTTAGACACCCAAAACCATTTCATGAAGGTGAATGGGGGGACACGAAATTAAGATGCACTGCTAGAATTCAAAGAAGGAACACAAAGAAGCTAACTTCCAGGGACACACAAGTGCTGCCATACAGAACATGGTCTGTTTGTACCAAGTCATTTTGCATTAGTACATGTGAACTTTGGGAACTGGTAAAAGGGTAAAATGTAGTCTTTCACGCCAATGTAAAACAGAGTACATATGATCTGAGTATTCTTCTAGAACTCTGGAGAAATAAGTGTGTGGAAAGGCACCATGTATGTTTCATTTCTAATGTTTCCTTTTTGAATAGAGTGGAAGGTTTTTTTTTTTTTTAGCTTTTTAAAGATGGACTGTTTTTTGTATGACCATCGAACTTCCCAATCCACTTCCCCAAGTCACATAACAGGTCAACTTCCAACACCCCATCAGTTCACAGTTCATTCTGCTGACTGATGTCTATTTAAATGGCTCCTATTTAATCACAAGGCAACACAGGACTGAACCTCCAACCTCTACTTGGCGTTCCCAAATCACAGTATTCAGTAGGTCTTGGGTCTCCCCAGATACGCTTCTTGTTAGGGTGTCTTCCTTTGATTTTTTAAAAAGGCTACTGGACCTTTTAATATACCTTAGGACTTCCCTTAATATTTTCTCAATGCATACAGTAACTGCTACTAGACAGTTCCTCAAAAAGCCGTCAAAAACACTCTGCCCTAATTAATACGCAATGAGTGGTCTTTTAAAATTGATACAGTAAGCTTCATCAACATTTGAATTCCCTCATTGATTCTTAATTTCACCCTGTTGGGGTGTAGTCTGTTTATTGTTCACTAATGTTTGAAACGGGGTTCTAACTATTTAATTGGTTTATTTAGCACCAAAAGACAATCTTGTATCTCTGCAGAGTGAATCCCAGGGGGGCCTAACCAGTGACACCTGACGGATCACTAAAGTCAACCTCATGGCCCATCTAGATTCCGATTAAGAATTGAACTATCACCACAGAACACTGTGGGAGACCCATGACAACACTTCAGGTGACCCACTGGGGACTTCAAGAAATGAACACTAGCATCTCATGCCTTCAAAGCTGAAGACCTTCCCAGGACCAACATACATTCTTCTGCTTGTTAACTGACGGATTCTAAAGGAATCGTGGTGGTGTGAGGGGTTAGCATTGGGCTGCTGAGAGCGAGATCCACATTTCAAACCCACCAGTCACTCCGATTGTGAAGGAGGAAGATGAGGCTTATTTCTGTACAGATTTGCAGCCTCGGAAATCCTACATAGGGCTGCTATGTGTTGGAACTGACTCAGTGACAATGGGAGTAAGGAGCCCCGGTTGGGCCACCGTGTTCAACATTGGGCTGTTAACAGCACAGTACGCAGTTCAAACCCACTAGCCGCCTGCAGGAGAAAGAGAAAGTTCTGCTCTTATAAAGATGTAGCCTTGGAAAGTGTATGGAGCAGTTTCCTTGTCCTGTAGGGTCACTATGAGTCTGAATTGATTCAACGGCAGTGGGCTCGGTTTGGTTTTGGTTTAGGGTGTTTAATCTCAGGCCTACAGGAACACAAAGTTCATTTTCTTGGTTGATACGTTATAAAAACTTGAACATTCACTAACCCCTATAGGAAAAACAAACACACACAAAAATGAGGCATAAATCCCGTACGCCCATAATCCAATGTTAACTGACAACTTTATTAGCTGTATTTCCTTCTCTTCTCCTTTCCTCATGTTTTTTAAATTGGTATTGTGTAGCATACAAAAAAAGATGAATTACAGTTTCTGCTAACTTACCATTACTCACTATAACCCACAGAGGGGGAGAAAACCTGGGGCCAGCCATTTAAGCATATGTGCATGAAGACATCCACAATCATGTTTTAAAATCCGTCTGCACATCTTTTACGGAAGTTTATTTTCTTGGGACGATGAGAGGCTATGAACTAAGTATCCATGCTAATACAACGTGTCTTGTGTTTGCCCAACACATATTAAGTGCTCCCAATTATTTGTACTCTTTCATTGTTTTAGCTCCTTGACCAGCACTCTTTCTGTGATGTCTGGGCCTTTTCTGGTGATGTTTTTTTAAACCACTAAAAGACACACGTGTGAAGGCCTGGACTAAAGTTATGGGTAGCTCACATTTAGAAAACCACTCCACCCGCCCAAGGAAGAAACTATTATACGTAAAGGTGAGTAAGGTTTTGGCTTAACATATTCAATTCACCCTTGGAAAAATGAGAATCTGCTAAACATATACTCAACATCTAATCTCTCATGTACCTGAAATCATCCATGCTGTGAGTTAAATGCTGCCATTAAGAACTGCCTGGTCAAAGCCAAAGTCCTTTTCTGTAACAAGCGAGGTAGACAAGGCTTTCAGGCATTCCTCTGGCCCCTTAGTGCTCTACAGGACAAAACATGGCCCAACAGACCTCCAGGTACTTCTCCCTAATGTAGCTAAACAACAATGCAAGCTTTCTGGGAGCCACTTTCTTTTTCAAAAGATCACCATCTAACTTACAAGGGACCAGGTTTAAGGGATGCTGTCATATGCTCAAGCAGAGAAAAAGTACATGCTACTTGCGGATATACGACACCCATTATTGGATTCATCTGAGAGCCTACAAAGCATGAAGTTTCATCTTCCAGGAAGTTTTGTTTATAGAATTCATCAAAATAAGCCAGCTTTATAGACCACTTGGGCAACCTATGACATGAAGAGAGTCCAACTGTTGTGTAGGCTGAATGAGAGATTGTACATCCCACTGACAACTACATCGGACACCTCTCTTTTCAGATACTCTCCTGCCTTTGGTTAAGAAACAAAGACAGGGGCTAGAGGAATCTTTAATCCTTTAAAGATGTCCCTATCAAGGTGCTCCAAAGAAGCCAGCACTTCCTTTCACACAGCCAGAAAGCCAATGTTTTCTGTAACCCACGATCTTCTCCGGGGAGAGAACACAGAGGATTTCCTGAAGACATGATTTTCCAAGCGTCAATTAAGTTACACTGACTGTAAGGTCACTTACTGAAAGCAATTTAAATGGCTTTCCTTCCTTGAGATTGCTATCAAACTTTTAGTCCTGGGAAGCTAAATTAAGAAGCACAAAAATGACTACCTGCGCTTTCTCAACTAGTAGCTCACCCAACAAACAGTTTCGGTGTGTTGAGCTGGATCTACTAGAAAACAATGTACTATACCATTCAACAGTCATCCTGATATATAAGTGGATTTCCCCCCTCATTTTGCCATAGCAATATATTTAGGATAACGACATAAAAATCACCACAAGGAATAGGGTTCAATTAGAAAAGGTAGCAAGATGTCGTCTTCCCAGGATCGTTAGGGTGCTCAGCAGATTTAGAAGACATAAATGTAGAACAGCCTTTCAAAAGACCTGGTTGCAGATGGCAGGAAATTGAGCTGAGGATGTCATACTTTAAAAAGAGGGGCTTCTACATGTTTGCCAGTGATACATTTTTCTTTTCATCAAAATAATCTGAGAACAATATATAGAAACATGGTTGCAACAAGGGGGGACGGGGATTTCTGAGCAAATGCTTTCAAACCCTTTGTTCTCGTTTGCACCGGCACGTTTGTATCATTAGGAAAATGAAGATGCAGGTGTGCTTGGACACTGTATTTTTCTTTTTACATTAAATTTAAAAAGCCAAGTTTTATCATGCATTTAGGATTAAGAGACCAAAACAAACAAGACAAGACAATTAAAATATTCTTAAATGTAATCCCCTGTATGTTTGCATTCATGCCCCAGCCTGCTACTGGGAATATTACACGTCTCCTTTGGGTATGATTAAGAAGGTGAGGCACAGCAAACACTGGGAGAATGCTTACCGCTTCCTAATATTTTGCTTAAAAAAAATGTGAATGTGCTGCACTATAATACACTATGCATGAAGCAGATTATCAGCTATTTAAAATAAACACTGGCTTTACCATATAAAAATACCATTGTTCAAAGCCCCATGTAAAACCAAATAGATCAAGGTACAGTATTAAAAATCAAGCAAAGCTGTCTAGAAAACATTCCCCACAACATGCTTCTAAGCAGTAAAATTCTGCATTTAGGTTACTTGAAGTATCATTCAGAATTATAATACACATGTGAAGCCTTTCTAAAATATGAGCTGAGTAACAGCTAAGCGTTGAATTCTGGAAGGAGGTTACAGGGTCTCTTATGGGCTCTATTACTTCTCTAAATTTCTTAAATATTATTCTAAGCCAGGAAGTGGTTAGTAATATTCAAGTAAAAAAAGTTACCTATTTCCAAAACAACTTACAAGATCTAGCCCATCTTGAACTGCGCGTGAGGGGCAAGACTAACTGGGCGGCTACACCTGAAATAACAGATCTTAGAATTCAAGTCAAGCTCACAGCAAAAGAGGAAGGAGAGCAAAAAATGAAACAAAACCAAAAAATTCCAATCTCAGGGCCATTAAAATAATGGACAATGAATCTTAAAAAACTGGCTTAAGTAGGATTGGGGTAAGTAGGCATAAACTTTCATTTCTGAAAGAATGCTTCCTTTGGGACAGAATGAGGTCTTTCTAGCTCTTGATTCTCTTATGGAGGTAAGCTCGCCAGGTACCACTGTGGGGCTTGCAAAAAGCTTGCCCAGGAAAAATTATAATCCTACTGAAGTTAGTATAGTCCTTT